CTTTTCATTAAAAAAATCATTTATTTCCATAATATTTGTAACAACTTTTTGCCGAGTTTTCCCAGTAAGTTGTCATGGACATTTGTAGTGGGAATAACCCGCTACTTCCCACGTGGATATCTAAGACTATAGATTAACTTACATACTGTTTAAAGAATATATTATAAAAGCAATCATCGCGCGTTGTGTGTGTGTAAAATATATGCCCATACATATACGTATATAAATGTAAATATATATAGATATAGTTAACTGATTCTAATTATAAGATTTTAAATTTCGTTATAGTTAAAAGGGTTGCAGTTATAAGATAGAATGGGGTATATTTTAAGTTTGTTATTCACTCTGTTATAAATATAGGTGTACTGGCCAATATATTGCCTTCAATGCCACAATATTCTTTCTTCTTTTATGGGCAAATTTGACTTTTTGATTGACGTTAATTATTTTTGGCAGTGTAGGATAATGTTGAGAACATACAGTTTTCTGAGTGAGAGGAGACCGTTGATTTTATAAAGACTATCAGTAGGAAACCTATAGGGTTTAGAGTACATAACCGTAATAATAGATCTCTGCGCTCTCTCCAGGTCAAGAAAGTGACTTTTACTAGCATCACCCCAAATCGAGATACAGTAGGTGAGGATAGATTGTACCAGGGCTATGTAGATTTTTTTTTAAACTTTATTGGACATAACCTGACGTAAAGATTTGAATACCCATGTGAGTTTCCTTATTCGTTTCATAGGCGGTATTAGCGCGTGGAATCTCAATGGTAGGGGTCTGATAAGAACAGAACGCTACGCCAAAAAATAATCAGTTACCCAATAAAATATTCCACTGTAGAGTGAAAAATATCTTAACTTGCGACTGAAATAAATTATGTTATCAATACCCACGCTATTAGCGCGGATCTAGCTCATGTACCTACTTTAAGTTCCAGGTTGTACGTCAATTGTAATTGATCGTGTTTTGTGTTGACTTAAATGAGCTCTCTTCCTATTACGGACCCGTAGTTAAAATACTAAAGCAGAACTTCTCTATAAGTGCACATATGTTTTGTCACAACTACGTTTTCCTTTTGAAATTCTAAATTGAATCTTTAGCACAAGCGCCCAATCCAGAAAATAAAAGTACATACGATAAAATGGATCACAAAATGTTTCTAGAATTGATACGGCTCGTTTCAACAACAAACGAAACAAACGTAAAGCGTCCCACTGTTTCAGTATTCTAGAACAGCACATAACGACGGACATCTGGCTTGTGATAGTTAAGAATTTTGAATAGTTCAACATCCACAAAACCTTGGAAGGCGCGCAGACTAAAGAGTTATTTGTTAGTGTACGAATATATATTATGAATGTCTATTGCAAGATGTTCAACAGATTCTGGAAGTTTCTTGCAGGCTTCAATTTCGCAACGATGAGTCGAGTGGCAAAAACATTTAACGATTGTGCGTTTTCACCGAGTTATTATCCCCCATTACAGTCATCATATGCAAAGCCTAGTCATATTTTTAGAGGAAAACGTACGGCTTGAAAATAACTGAATACTGCAATATATAAAGTTATATAATAAATATTTAGCTGATTGAATTGCTTCAGTTTGATTTTAAGTAAATAAGTTATGGAGCTACTAAAACATGCTACAAATCCTTTCAGCATATTCATCAAAGTAACTCACGACTATGCAAGCAATATTTTTTTGGTCTACTTCAGTGGACTTGTAACTGAAAAGATGAATAATAAATTGTCTTTTTATTTAAATAATATTTTTTTTAGCGTAATACTTGTCTTGGCACGTTTGGAAAAATAATGAGAGTAAAATTTTTACGATGCGCGCACACCTACCCTCAAAAAGCGACATGACGGTTGGTAACCATTAAATTTAATCTTGGCATCCAATAACAACTTTTGGACATCAACCAATAATTCAAACTTATATAAATAAACCATTTAAAAATGCATCTAATGTCTTTACGCTGAAGAAGTATCACTTTTTACGTGCGTACATAGGTATTTATAATTTTTCATGTCATTTTTTTATGTGATGTAAGTGATAACCGCCGCCCATGAACATTTGCAACACCCGTAGGGATGCAGATGCGTTGACACCTTTGAACAAATTGGGCCCCGGCTGCCTCACTGACCAGAAGAAACTCAGAAGTATAACACAGCCATTTCACGCCTGTCTTCTGTGAAGTCGTGAAATTTCTCCGGACGGACCTGTCCATTCGTCTTCTTGTATTAACTGATGTTTTTGCTTTCAGTCCCGAGACTATTAAAGCTTCATCTGACGCAGAACCGGTGGGCTAGCCAGAACCCACGGGTTTGGGCCCTCCGCTGTGGGTAGGGCCGCGCATGTGCTCATGCGTGCGTTTAACTACGACATGTCATCTAAGGGCCATCGAAGTTGCGGTGCAGACCGAGACCCCGATGGCCGTCGACTGTGTTTATAGCTAATCGGTGGCTGGGGGCGGTGAGAACCGCCCTGGAACGCGGGTGTACCTTGTGTACGCGTTGTGTTGGTCTCGCCGTGCTCGGAGGCGAGGGCGAACTATTGTGTTTGTTGTTACACTAGCTGTGGGTGTAGTCTTATCCGGCGGGACCCCCGGCGGTGGGTCCGGCGTATCTAAGTCCCCTTCCTCGACCGGGTCGATGAGGAAGTTTCGCGGGCGACGCTTGTTAACGTTCGCGTTTGTGTCGGGTTGGTAATTTTCTGCGCTTACTACCAGAGGGTTGGGATGATGTTCGGCTCTATCGAAGAACCGTTTTGTCAAATCTTTAAAATATTCGCGAATCGTCGGGAGTCTGCAATCGCTGTGCAGATCGACGTTGCGTTGGTACCACTGCGCACCGGTTGCACAGCGGATGAACTTATTTTGTACTATTTGCAGCTTGTACAAGCGAGTAGGGTGCGTGTGGGCGAAGATCATGCATGCGTAGGACATAATAGGTCGTACGCAGGTCTTATATAATAATAATTTGTGCCTTAAGGGCATTTTACTTTTAGCGTTAGTTAAATTGTGTAGCCGGCCGGAGACGAACGCGGCTCTATTACGAACGTTATTAATGTGCGTAGTAAATGACATACGCGAGTCGAATGTGACTCCTAAGTATTTGACCTTTTTCTCCCAGGGGAGCGGTTGGCCATAAAGGGATATTTGCCCCAACTTTCTGCATTGGCGAGGGCCATTATAAAGATGTGACGGGTAAGTACTTCGTGTGAAGTGAATCGCCACACTCTTTTCGGGATTTATTTCTATTCTCCATTTGCGGAACCAATCGCCGAGGCGGTCGGCGGCGCTTTGGAGTCTAGTGGTTAGTATTCTAAGGTTGCGGTCTGAATAAAAGAGCGCGGTGTCATCCGCGAAAAGCGCGAGATTGACGTGGGGGTCCTTGGGTATGTCGCTCGTGTAGAGCGTAAAGAGCAAAGGTGAGAGGCAGGAGCCTTGTGGTACGCCGGCCGTGAGGCGGCGCCTTGTGGAGAGGGTGCCCTCGACTCGATACCGAAAAGAGCGATTCAACAAAAAGGCCCGGATGGTGTTTACGAGCCTATCTGGTACTTTGAGAGTGTACAGCTTGTAAAGCAAGCCGTTGTGCCAGACTTTGTCGAATGCTTTTGCGACATCGAAGAAAAGAGCCCCTGTACTTATATGTTTCGGGTGATTTAGGCCTTTTAGGATGTGCTCCGTTAGGCGGTATAACTGATCGGGACAAGAGTGTCTAGCTCGAAAGCCTAATTGTTCCGTCGGCAGAAGGCCGTTGGTAAATACGTGCTCTTTGAGCCTGTTTAACAAGAGCCGCTCGTGGAGCTTCCCCAGGCAACTGAGGAGGCTGATGGGACGATAGCTAGAGGGCTGATTAGCTGGTTTATTCGGTTTGCGAATGCCGATAACCGTAGCTTGTTTCCAGTCGTCCGGAAAGGAGCAACTGGAGAGTAGAGTGTTGAAAATGGTCGCCAGTAAACAGATAAGCGGCCCAGGGAGAGCTTTGAGAATTTTATTACTTATATTATCTGGGCCCGGGGCGGATTTCGGTTTTAAATTTTTAATAATATTTTGGACCTCTTCGGGGGTCATTGAATTTAAAGGTTCGCCTTCCGGTGGAAGCGCAGCCCTAGTCTCGATTACGCGGTCCACCTCCGTTAGGTGGACTGTATCGGTGTGTTCGCGCGATGGCGTACATTGCTGCTCTAGGTTGTCCTGTCCATTCGTTCAACATTTTTTATCATTCATCAATTTTTTACATTATTTTCGTTAATTCACAACTTTTGGTCTTATATAAACTTACAAGTAGTTTTTTTTTTTGGATAAGAATGTATGCATTTGCGAAGTTAAATATCGGGGGGGAAGCAAGTGAGCACGGGCTGTCTTTGAATTTAAGTGAGAGACTACGGCATATTTTTCAGAAAATAAACGTTTGTAATGCTACCGTAGCTATACATATTCGATAACTATGTATGTGCGTAATAATATTCATATTCTTACAAAATAAACGAAATTGAAAATCTATTATGAACATGTTTTGAAAACAATTGCCCATTCCATTAAGATTCGTGACAAACATTATATATTTTAGCCGCTTTAAAATTGTATAAATTTTTGTTAAGAAAGAGCTTTGAATAACCTATTTTGACTACATACAGCGCTGAAAGTGTTTTGGTAAATAGAGTGCCAAAAAGTACTAGCCTTCTTGGCTTTCTTTTTCTGTCTTCGATTATTTTTCTTCAAATTCTTGATGATTGTGCCCAAAAGAAAATATTGGATGAATGTCTATAAATTACATATAAAAATAATTATTTTCAGTGATTTAAAACATTTTAACAATGTAAAGAAACACCAAAAAGGAAGATAGGAAGAAAAAAAACATTAAGAAAAATTACTTTACTTACATTATTATTTTATAACAATCCTTATATGTAATAAAATCTGAATCTAATAGTACATTTTTATCGTTAACATCTTAATAAAATTGCATTCCAATGAATACACTTATTCATGGAATATATTGCTTGAATCGTATCATTTGATATAGGCAAGACACGTACAAGCAATAAAATATTGATACAAAAGGTGTGTGACACTGGCCAGCGGATCGATTTAAACGTTCGTCGGATTTGACACTCGAAGCGACTACTATATTTCGACTTCTTGTCCCATCAATCCTCGTTTCTTCCGCCGTTGATACACTACTAAAATCTGGTGTAGTACAGCTCTTTGTTTTTCTCTGAAAATGACATACATCAATAAGGACTTTGATTTATAATTTGATTTTAAACTCATGTTTTTGTAATAAAAAGTCGATTAGATTGTAGCTCAATGTTGCAGCGTCAGATTTCGTAATACACCCAAGATAATTTTAAATATTATCAAAACCGTAGTCAATAAATACAACGAAAACACTTTCGCAGATTGTGGCAAGTTCGGTTTATAGGTTCTAAAAAAATGTAAAAATTAAATTTTCGTTAATTAAGTTTAATACATAAAAATGTATGCACCTGAGTTTCCGTTGCGTTGATATTTATACATCGTTGTGATTGATGTGCAAGACAAGCAGCGTATGCAATTGCATGAGGAATGTAACTTTGCTCCACCACACCCGTAAACAAAATAGTTGCCATAGGTCCTAAAACATTCATCGACAATATAAGACGATTGAATACTTACATTATACACTATATTATAAAATAATGAGGACTACCTACTACCCGTGTAACTACGTCGAAGGGCATTTGTGCAACACATTGCGTCTTATAAATACTATACTATAATGTGACTGCACTATCTTAATAAAGCCAATAGATTAATTCTATGCCATTGTAATTCTTTGTTAATTTAGAATTAGACAAGGCATCAGCACAACTGCATAACATTATAATTAATACAAATGATTTTAATTTACGTTACTTTCCCTAATTCGAACAATGCACAAATCTTTATTGGCATAATTTTTATAACCATATTATTTACTGGGGAGTTAAACATTACATATTATTAGAAACGATCACAAAAAATGACGAATAATGCCCAAGTTTTTTTTTATATGAAAAGTTATCAAGCGAGCAGATGGTTCACCTGATGTTAAGGAAATACCACCGCCCATGGACATCTGCTACACCCAAGGGTTTGCAGATACGTTGACAACCTTTTGAAAATTGGGCTCCGGCTAGCTCACTTACCAGACGAAACGAGCAAGTACTATAATTCCAATTTACGCCGGTTTTCTGTGAGATCGTGGTACTTACCCGGACGAGCCTGCCCATTCGTGCAAAAGCCGAGGCTGCTGCGGGGTTTTACCACCGTAAAGTGGTAGGGCCACGCAGCAAGTTTTCCCAATGAATTTGATTATTACTATTTACCTAAAGCGTATACAGGTACATCTTCTCCACCATGCGTAGCCCATTGTCTGGGAACAGCAGCAGCATGAACTGCGTCGACAGGTGCTGAATATGTGTTATTTGTTGGTACTGACCGCGGCTCCGAATGACCAGGTCCCGTACCGTATAGAAGCGTGGTGTAATGTAGGCCATCAATATCCGATACTTCTGCATCTGACCCTACAAAGTAGGTAAAATTCGATAGAATCACACACTAACTACTATAATAACTATAATATCGTAAAGAATTCATAAGTGTTTGTACACTTATGAATTCTTTACGATATTATAAATTCCCATTATTTTGTTATTTATCATCCGTCTCTTGATATCTGTTTCTTGCGGTAAGAGTTTGTACCTAGTACAGGATGACCTCTTGGAGTAGCTTGGCCTCCGAACGTCATAACATGACCATGATCAGCTGTTACAACGACCAAAGTCTCTGCGGGATTCACTCGTTCTAACGCAGCCAAGAGAGCAGTTTCCATCTCTAAAGTCTCGTCAAGCGCTCGATACGGATTGTTGTAGTGATGGGCGTGGTCGATCCTACCCCCTAGAATTTTATATTTTTTAAAATTACTTTAAGTTTGCATACCCTGTTTTAATGAATTTCGAGAAAATATACTTAGACGTGACATATTTTTTCTTTAAGTTTCATTACCTTCAATTAGCAAGAAAAATCCCTTTTCGTTTTTGGTTAATATGGACAAGGCTGACCTAGTCATATCTGCAAGCGAGGGATCATCTTCCGCTTTTAAAGTACTTTTTGTTGTCCTATGAACCGATTCAACTTTTCCTCCACGTTCAACATTAAACTCCATATGGGAATATTCAAATAGACCTGTTCATGTATAATACAAAGATAAATAAAATTATATTTGTTTATATTATATAACAAATGCTGACAATTAACCAAACTGACATTTAAACGCAAGAAGCAACATCAGGAACAATTAAACGCTTTCTTTTGATTTCGCAGAAGAAAGAAAACTAAGTTCTCCATCCATAGAAATAAATACACACATATAAAAAAACTAAAAAATATCATTGGAATAATTGTTCTAAATGAGAGATAAACAAGTTGCAGAAAATGTTTGTATTGTACTTTGCATCATCGATCTTACTTACGGCAGTGTACACACATCTTTTTTTAAATAATTTTTTATATTTGATATCATTGTGACATAAATAGGCGTTTTATTTAAGTAATGTAACCGCAACCCTTGCTATGTTTACCGTTTACGGCAGTAAACGGTTTAAATGGGTGAAAATATTTTTTTGTTGTAAAGGTGGCAAAAGTTTAACGACAACAAGTGATTCACTACCTCCCATAGATGATTGCGACTCCGCAAATCCTTTGGCCTTGTGAAGACTATATCTAGGTGAACAAGAGGACCCGGTGGTCGCCAACTCAAGCGAGCTTAGATTAGATGCCAGTAAATAGTACCCTCAGTGCAGTATTCTCTTTGCGGCCGAACTTACAAATTTATGCAGTGGAGTGTAGACAGAGTTCTTAAACCCAATTTGGCTTTTATTCAAAAGTAACTACGTAATTGAAACTCGCTCGGTATTCATATGTCAAGGGTTTCTATTGAAGTTGAAGCAAGGATAGCCTTTTTGCGATAAACGTATGGATTACATTCCTTTACGCGTTTTAAATTAAATTGTTTTTTTAGGTGGCAAGTGAAGAAACGGTTCTACTGAAGTCATTCCATGAACAACTACAACACCCATGGGCTTACAAATACATTGGCAATCTTCAAAGGAGTGGGTTACGTCTCACACTAGACGAAACGCAGAAGTACATAAAATGCTCTCTTTATGTCGGTCCTTTTTAAGACTGTTCTGGCACTTCCTTGGGGAAGTACGACAGCCGGAAGAGCCTGCCCTTCTCTCCCCTGCCTCAGTAATTATACGGTTGTATAAAAAAGTATAGGAAAAACAGAACAAAATTATTATAGAGCAACAATTTTTGCACATGTTATGTATTTTCAAAGTCAAAACACACATAAAAAAACACATAAAAAATAGGGCCTCCGACATTACATTCTTCTTACTAGTTATACCTCTCATTTAATAAAACCATTTAACAAGGAAAAGTGTGTTCCGCATATTAAGAGTTAATATCGTAATTAAAATTATGTACTTAAATGATATACGCCAAGTCAATTCAAAAAAGAATCAATTACTTAATTATAGAATTTAAGACTTTTATTAAAAGAATTAATTTTGAAATAAAGCAACGCCAGCAAGCATGTAATAAAAACTGTACCTAATAAATAATCGATATTTCGAAAGTCCACTTTCGCCAACTGTTCTCTGTTGTAAATATACTTTGCCCGCATTCGCCTCTTTTTCTTTTCCCTAACCCAATCTTCAGCCAAGTTCCGACCATCAAGGCGCCTTCCTTCCCGATTCTGGTGTTCAGGATCTGGGGTTATTGTTGGTAAAAAATGTCTTCTTCCACCTCCCATTATCACCTTTGAGGAAAAAATAATTGTTAGATGACCTGTATTTTTTTTTTCATTTAAGTTTTAATAACATCTTTACTTCAGCAATATACGTGATCCTTGCAATCGGACCGGTTCCATCATCACCAAGCTACAGAATAATTCATGATCATGTAATATATGATCATAAATTACTTTCTGTGACAATACCATACGCGTTTCGCCTCAAATGACGTATTATCACGATCCCATGACAGTTATCCCTTAAGTTGCTGCATTGTTATTGTTGTGATAGAACCTCGCAAAAGAAGGCCTTATTGTGTTCCTATAAAAATGATTTATTATAGACTCAATAGAGTCTGCTAAACCGAGTGGTGTCTAAGTTTTAGAATACAATTATAGAATAGAATATAATTTTAAATGTTTGAAAAAAGTAAAATAATATGTTCGTTTTCGAAACCTCTTTTATTAAAGTTTAGTAGTTTTTTTATTCTTTTTAAAAACTGCACTTACTTTAGGACAACATTATCCTGTGTTCTAAGGACGTTTTTACAAATATAAATTTCACGCGGACAAACACCCAGATACGAAATGACTATCAACAAATGTCATACAAATAGCTGTCCCGTGTTGGGTCGAACCTACGACCCCCGACGCCGAAGCCAATAACTTGGCAACTGCGCCGCGGAGTCATTCATTAAGAAAAAAGAGTCTGGAATATATAAAGTGGGAACAGCAAGACGGCTAGTTTTTATACTTATTTTATATCAAATACACCAACAGTATAACGTACAGAAAATTTATGTATTCTTTCCTAAGGGGCCAAATCTTACATATCTGCCTGTATACTTATAAACATAAAAGAAAAAAAAAAACAGTAATTGAACTTTAACACTAAAATTAAATCGACAGTAAATTAATTTAAACAAGACATCGAATTTGCATTCTAACAAAAATCTATATAGAAATCAAATTCTTTCTATAAACATTAAGAGAATCGTAAAAAATACCAACGTTTAGGAAAGGAAATGAATGAAGGAAATAATTGAAGAAAGTTTATCCCTGAAAATTCAACACTGAATATTTCGAATAATATAAATAATTTTTCAAACAACAATAAATGACAACTTACGTTAATATTTCTTCCAGGTTCATTTTCGACAAGTTGTAGGGCGATGTCCTTACAATCTCTCCGCACGGTTGGCGGAACACGGCTGTCATCTTCCCAGTAACGGGATGGTGTGTGAGCATACAAAGCTGCAGGTGTTGCGTGAGTTACTCTGGCCGTTGTAACGATACCACTCGATTTACCTATATATTATCAAACTATATAAACATGTAAATCACTGGTACTAATCGTCGTAATTTATTTACTGTTGTAGGGCCATATTATACTTTTAAATTTCTTCTGGTTAATGAAGTAAACAGGGCCCACTTTTTAATGGTTGGTAAGCCATTTGCCACACATCTGGTGCTGGCGTTGTTCATGGGTGGCGGTAATCACTTAATATCACGTGAACTTTTCACATATAAAAATGAAATAAAAACAAAAACAAAACACGTGGAACAAAATACTTCATTAATTACGGTGAACGACGAACGTGTTAAAATAGTCTTGGTTTTCTAAAATGTTTGCGTATAATTCAAACGCCTGAAAGGCGTTTTAAAAAAAATATCGACATTTACCTGCACCATGCACCCAGTCAATAAGTGATGTAACTTTTGAATTAATAGCAGACGCGCAATTATTAAACCTTCCTCCTGCATCGAGGCCTAATGTTTCATATCGAGCCTTCACTCCACAAAGCAGAGCTGTGGCACACGCCGATGATTCTCCGGTTTGTGCATCAATATTATATGTCTGTTGAAAAAAAAGTAAATGTTTATTATCTTATCGAAAATTAAAGCTCATTATGAGTTAGTCATTAAGTTCATTAACAATAACAACGAAGAAAATAATTAAATGACTATCTCAAATTAATCTTCATTAGTAAATTAAGTTCAATAACTAACAGTAATTAACGTTTTTAGTATATAGTATTTTCATATTTATATATAGTAATTTCATAGGTTTCGAAGTGTTAAAATGGGATACACATTAAATACCTTAGCTAGGGCAACGGCCGGAAATGTATCCCAGACCAAATCTGTATCTTCTCCAGACAATCCTTTTCGTTGCCCTTTTAAAATTCTTGCTGCAGTCGTTGTCGTTAAGCTCATACCGTCACCGACAGCCAGAATGATGTTTCTTAATATAAATAATGAAACAAACGGTATTCATGTAATAAAACGGGGTAAAATTAAAATGTATTGAGATTAATATTATATATATTAAATATATAAAAATGTATTTTTTACTTTAATTTTGTTCATTGAACCTTGAAAAGTTTTGACGCATGTTATAGTTATTTCAGTCATATTTTATCGAAAGAATAAATTAAATGATACTGAACGATAACTGTTCATTGCGTCAGACGAGGTGTATTTCACTCGCTTCATTAAAATTATATTATCTGTTTTCCATGCAGTAGAAATTAAAATAATATATTAATAAATTTTGATTTAAAATTAAATACGTACTTCGCAATTGGCTTCTTTTCTGTAGAATATTGTAATCGCTTCTGAAGAGTTTGTTCTGCTTGGGAATACCAGTATTGGCGATCTAGGTCATAAAATCAACGGTGTTATTTACGGCATTTACAAAATATGATAAATAAGACAAATGTGATATACACAAACACAAATGTATAGTAACATTAAAATTTTGTGATTAGCATAATAAGAAATATCAATAGGTAACAATAATATCAATAAATAAATATAAACTATTTCTATTAATGTCTTTCAAAAATCCTTACTCAAATAATTATTTATGAGAGATACCATAGGTACTATAAATGGAAACCTCTAGGAAGGAAAGTCAAAAATTACATGATACTTTTTATATATTATATTCATTGAAAGAGTTCCCATCATGGAAAGAAAGGAAAAATGTTTATTTGCATATAACATTACAATAAGAAACAATACAATAACGAAAATGTATGCACCAAAAAGGTCTACTATCAGAATTCCGCGGCGGCATAAAGTGCTAGGGGACTGGTTCCTCCTGATGTCTTAGTATGGATAAAGACGTTCAGCTTTATGCATATAGCAAACAAAAATAAAATATATAATATTAAGTACGTTCAAACACAAATATAACAATAAATTCTAACGAACCCTCGCAGGAATGCAGTGCAATTTTTCGGTTTTAAATAAAGTAGAAATGATTTGTATATAATTTTAAAGGTATGAATAGACCAAGAATTTCTTATCGGGTGGAGGAATTTAGTTTCAACTTGTTGAGGAATCCCGGATCGATTTAGCTTACTCAATAAGCCTTTAGTAAGAGTTTTGTTATCTTTATTCTCTTCATTTGTAACACTCCGTTTCGTATATTTACCATATAATTCATTTTCTTCTGTTTGTTGAGGCGTTCTGATTAGAGCATCGGTACTAATCGTAGACACCATGATCACGACGTAGCACCAAGCACTCATGGTTGCCAAGATGCATTAGTGTTGTTGGTTTCATCCACAGGCCGTTTTCAATGACTTTTTAATTATTATATATGCAAAGACATGTTGTTGATATACACATCTGTAACAAGTATTTTCATTTCGTATACATACTTAGATAATTATAATGCGCTGTTAACGGAAGCTACAACTTTAAATATTGTATGGAGTTTTCAGTCATTTGTTTTTGCCAGTCGTAGCGACAGCGATGTTCATTGCTTTAATAACAATTGCACAAACATGTCGATACACATGTGAAGATAGACTAGTTGACTCGTGCGAAATTATTTCATAGTACCGTGATCAGTAACAGAATGGTAATAAAATAATGTGTAACGGTAAAATTCAAAAAAAAGAAGTAAAGTCTACATCACATCTTACAATTAAAGAGATTGTTAATTGACGGCATTATCATATATCATTTATAAGAAATTTTTAAACGAGTTTTTTTATGAAAACATTTCCTTTATTGTTTTTGTATATTTTTCAATGACAGCAAATATAAGCATTAAAATGGTATGAATTATTAAATTAAATGAAGAACTACAGAATTTATGTCGTACATATACAAAAAACCATCTTTGAGTATTTCTCAAAGGCATTCTTTGTGTGTCGCTTCGCAAGAATCGGCGAACTCAAGGAAAACTCCAGAAAGTTAAGATCGCTGTAAAATTACATGTCACAACTATTGGCTTAAAGTGTTGTTGATTAATCTTAAAATTTACGCTTTTAACTACGTTACATTGCTTTCCTTGATTGGCTCGCTATGAAATGATTACCAATAATCTGATATGAAGAGTAATTGTGTCTGGTGTATCTATATATTAAACGTTTGTGTTATACGTCACATATTATGTTCTGGAATTCTACGACAGCGTTTTCCCCTGCGGCCGGGCGACCCATTTTCGTCATACAGTCATAATAATGCTAAAGTGAGACGGAGATAGTAATGATTGCGTGGCTTTACTCTTAACTCTACACAATTCTCTCCCACCACAATTAAATCAAGTTAAAATGAGTGCTTTTCAACACTTTTTGTACAAAATAAAACTTAAAATTCTCTGCTATTCCTCTGCTACATACATGTTGGAAGATATTGACCATAAAAGTCCCACTGCTGGGTTCGCCCAAGGCCTCCTCTGTAAAGAGGGTATCAGGGCATAGTTAGTCTTCGCCTCGGTCAGAGTCAGATACGGTTTCGTTACTCTCACGGTTCAAAATTGTTTTTAACAGTCAGTATCAAATTAAACATCACTTATTAAATCTCACTACACGAACAAAACAGTGTACAGTCTACCAGTGATAAAACAATTCGAAAAGGTTTTACTAGTTTTGAATTAGAAGGATAAATAATTCAAAACTTTCCGATAACTGCCATACTACCGTGACCTACGACAACTCGTCCGCCGCCGCTGCAGTGACTCATCAAATCCCTGTGCATCGTCGGTACAGCTGCACTACACCGCTTCAATTCTGACCGCCACTACCAAACAAATCGAAGAACTAATAAAATATTTATAATACCCAAGTCGTAAGTAGTGCATCTTTATACGCGTAGTTCCATTGATTGCTCAAGTTCATATATAAATTTATAGTATTGTTCCATCTTAAACGCAAAGAGGCAGTGTGTGTATTGCAAGATGAAATGCTCTGGTTGCTTAAAAAGTGCCAAGGATTTAAATTACATAAAATGCACCCAAACCGAGTGTGGCAAAATATTTTGCTCCCTATGCATAAATATCAATACTATTACACCGGAAAGAAAAAAATCCTGGAAATGCCCGAACTGTTGCGCATCGGCAAAAAAAGGAGGTGACAATAGCTCTACTCCCGCTCGTCCTTCTAACGAGTTGACTAATGTCACTACCAGAAAAAAATCTGATTTACCGCTAGACTCTGCACGCACTGAGATAAAAGAACTTATTGCAGAGGTCCGCCTGTTGACGACGGAAATTTCGTGTCTTAAACAAAAGTTCGAAGAAGCTACTATATCGCTCACATGCTGCCAAGAACGCCTAGAAGAGTTGGGAACTGCTACAGCTTCAAATGACAAGCGGATGCAATATTTAGAAAACCGCATTCAAGAAATACCTTCGCTGCAAGCAACTGTTTTGCAACTCCAAAACGAGTTAAACGTACAAGAACAAAACTACCTGCGTAATGATATCGAGTTGTCCGGTATACCAGAAAAACAAAATGAAAACCTTCACCATATAGTACTTTTGGCTGCCCGTAAAATTAGGGTTGAACTGAATGACACCGATCTTGATTGGGTTTCTAGAGTCGGACCGCGAAATAGGACGTCTATTTCAGGTGTAGCTAACAGCGAATTGCCACGTCCAATAGTTGCCCGTTTGATACGTCGTTCCAAACGCGATCAAATCCTGCTGTCAGCAAAATCACGAAGAAATATAACCAGCAACGACCTCGAAATCTCTGGAGAACCACATAAAGTTTATTACAATGAAAGGTTGACCAAGGAGAATAGGTTGTTATTTCGTGATTCACGCAACTATGCTAAGCAGTATGGATATGCATATTGTTGGTGTAATCGTATATGTACGCCAAAAAGAAGGAAAAGCTGCAATTCATATTCGATCACGTGAAGATATCGATAAAATTTTCGGTTCTTCAAAACAACAAGGTGCCTTCTTAAAATTGATAGCCTAGGTTTTAAATTATTTAAAATTGTAGTTGTTGTTAAAGCATTAAAATATAACATTGTATACTCCTTAAAGTTCCAACTTAATATAAGATTTAAAGTAGTAAGTATTGTAGTAAGTATTACCCTGTTACATAACGTCTACGTAAAACGCAATTGTATGCATATGTTTTTGTTTTCCTATATGGTAATCTATTTTATTTTATTTGTTCTTTGTTTCTCCCTTACATTAAGAATTTTTTTCGCATTGTTCTGGTTACCCATTCTTTTGATAAGTAAGCAAAGTTCATTATTTATAATGTACAATACACTACACAATTTACTTATACTTATATACACCGATAAATATTGTATTATTTTTTATTGCATTTTTTATTACATTTACACCTACAGGTACATTTATATTTATAATTACAAATGTTTATCAAAAGTGTCGTCATATAACATAAAGAGGACTCAAAATAAAAGTTATTTCAGGTTAAATAACTTAAGTGCTTTGATACGAAGTGGCAATTTATTCTTTATCAATGCATCTTATGTGAATATTTTTCATCGGCATGGCTTTTAATAACGTCATTTATGATGAAATTGTTTCGTTGAAGATAAATTGCCATTCACTTTTAGAACCTGAAAACAGCAGTAAAGTTTTAACTCCAAACTACAACTTTAAAATATTGGTACTCAATATTAGAAGTCTTCATAAAAATTTTAATACCTTTTTAGTTACTCTTGCAAGATTTAAAATAGATTTTGATGTTGTAGTCATGACAGAATGTTGGCTAAATGAAATGTCAATTATTCCACGACTTTGTGGATATATCTCATACAACACTCAAAAGAAGAATAACCAAAATGGCGGTGTAGTAATTTATGTTAAGGAGTCTTGGAATGCAACGTCTGCTGAGCCAGATATATTAGAGGCAAATTGCTTACAAGTTACTTTATCTAACACGATCACAATTTTAGGCATTTATCGATCACCTTCCTTTAGAAACCCTGACACTTTTCTGCAATCTTATGACAATTACTTGCTATCTCTAAATAAAGCCAAACTATTAGTTGCAGGAGACTTTAACATAAACATTTTAGCAAATTCTATGAATCATTGCAATGACTACCTATGTTTAACAGCTGCGCATGGACTTACCCCCGTTATCACACTCCCCACGAGACAAAACTCTTGCCTTGACCATATATTTTTTTATATTACGTTAAATGTACGAATCCAGTCGTGGGCGCCGTATGTGTGTCAGATTTATCAGATCACGATTTGGTCATGGCAGGAATCGCAATTACTGAAGAAAAGACTGCAATATATGAGACATTGTCAGGTATTAAAGAGCGTTCCACAATCATGTTGAAGAGAAATATGATTGCAATAAAATCAGAACTATCAGAAATTAACTGGCAGCGTCTACTAGAAAAACTTGCACTGAATGATGCAGTAAATACTTTTACCCAGCGGCTTTGTGATATAATCTACAAACTTTCCTTCTCGTGTCATCGATCAAAACGAAATCTTAAGCCTTGGATAACACCAGGTTTGTTACGCTGCATGAGACATCGCGATAAACTTCACCTTAAAACACGAAAAAAACCCCAAGATGAAATGCTTCGTTTAACATATACTCGGTATCGTAATTTCTGCAATGACCTGCTTCGTAAAGTTAAACAAGAATATGAAAACAAAGAACTTACCAAGAACAAAAACAACCCCCGAAAGCTTTGGAAAACGATAAAAACAATATGTCATATATCTAACAACAAAAAAGATTCCAGTGAGTTGTTACGGGCTGAAGGAACTTCAGATCCCGATAAAGCTCTCGATATCTGTAACGCTCACTTCTCTACAGTTGGGGAAAAATTAGCAAGTAAAATTTTAATGGACCTCAACATTAGTGAGAAACAGTTAGCCACCAACACCAAATGTGATACCACCCAGCAAAACTCTTTTTTCCTTAAACCTACTGATATCTATGAGATTGATTCATTTATTAGAAGACTCCAAAATGATAAAGCACCTGGAATTGATGGACTAGACAACTTTTTGATTAAGGAAATTAAGGAATTTATTTTAGAGCCACTTACCTACATTATTAATTTAAGTCTATCCACAGGAGAATTCCCAGAAATGTGGGAGCTGGCTTCGGTTTGCCCAATTCATAAGGCAGGTAATCGGGACATTCCAAATAATTATAGACCTATCTCTCTATTAGGAGTTTTCTCTAAGCTGCTTGAAAAAATAGTTAATAAACGATTAATACACTACAGCGAGTCAAATGGTTTGATCTCATCGAATCAATTTGGGTTTAGGCGTGAC